ACTCAAAGGAACAAGTGTTCCAACCAATATATTTTGATTAGATCATCATGATATGCAAGCCCAGACTGCCACGTCAAGGCACCACTTATAGTCGAGAGGACTTTGACACTACTGATTAAACGTAAGTATCCGAAACAGGATTCAAAGGAATTAACTAACCTTTAAATAAATATGGCTTTCAAACATCAACTTTATCAGTGGTAGTGTAAATAACACTTCACACTTGTGGTATAGCTGAAAACCGTATACATTAACATGTACTTCCTTCATGGGTTATATTTAAATAAAAGTAGCAATATGCAATTAAAACGATCACTGATGTGAAACAAAAAGACTTAAAAAGATTAAAAATTCAATGGTGTTTTTTTTTGTTGGAATTTTTCTTTTGCAAAATGAATTCTTATGATTGAATAAACAGCTGAGAATTAGTTCGCGGTATTATTGATTTTCATGTATACACATATATTTGCACATTACATGTTCATAGTGTGATAGACTGACATAGATATGTAAACAGACACTAACACATGATAATGCATAGACATGCACATGCACTCAACCCTATGAAAACACGGAGAGATTATAATGTATGAACGAACCAATCAAATATAAGATAACAGGTCTCGGATTTTGGCGCGAAATTCCCTCATCCATTTGGATAAATAATGTTTCGGCATTTTGACTGATGTCAGTTCATGATGAAAACCCTAAATCTAATTTCTAACCCTAATCGTCAACTGTAAATCATAATTCTAATTCCTCATACTGGTTTGTAACCCTCGTTTAATCCTGGTTAGTAGGTGGATATTCTCAAGGTCACTTTAGCGTCTCTTAAAAGTAGTTCATAAATTACGGTCCCACCGAAAAATACAAAAAAATTTCCCATTAAACACAATTATGATTAACCTGTAATTAATAATGGTTATAAAGTTACTAAGGCAAATTCTCTGTTTATAATTTCACAAATAAAAAAGAAAAAATCTTCTCACACCTCAGATTTATTTACGAATACACATTATCTGTGATCTTAACACACTTTTCGTTATACACCATACATCTCATACGCATTAGAGCAAATACTTACTTTAAACATTATTAACATGATTGGATGACCTATTTAGTAGACAGTTGGTCGAAGAATTATATACCTAATTATGTTTGATCATATTTTCTTGAAAATGCTTGAACTAGATTGCTGAGCGAAACGTTAGATTTATTTAAAATTTACAATTGATTGATCACTGGGTGGTGATCAATGTCATGTATGTCAAACCTTCTGAGTGCAGATCGAATGCTATCGACCAAGTTGCAATGTGGCCACTAGTCTAGGTGACTTGACATTGCGTGCACTATGCTAAGACAAGATGGTGGTTGGAGGTAGTCAACAGCAAACCCTGGACCCGGATTTCATGCTAATTGGCAGTCGTCAGTAAGGTGTACCTGCAATCTTGAGGGAACTCGTGCTCCCTCAACTTGGTCGATAGCATTCGGTCTAAACTAAGAAGGACTTGAAACACATGATATTGATCGCCACCCAGTGATCAATCAATTTTGATTACAACTCAGTCCTACAGGAAGTCGGTCGCGGCGCGGACAGCCCAGTGGTAACGTCTCTAACTGTGAAGCTGGGTGACACAGGATCGGATCCGTCAGGGAGCACCAGTTCTTTCAAGATTACAGGTACATCTTACTGACGAGTGCCATGTAGCACGAAACCCAGGTTCAGGGTTTCCTGTTGACTACCTCCAACCACCGCCTTATTTAAAATTCAATCGCTCAGATTTTACGAATTGATTCTTTCACTTTAAATTGGTGTCGAAATACTATGGAACTATTCATTCAGATTTAGACGAAAGTTCTTATATAATAACTTAATCAGTAGATAAAGTCATCTTGAAAAGTTGTGTCAATGGATTTAGACTTTGATGTTGTAAAGAAAAACACATTCATTTATTGAATTATTGGGATTGATTATCTGTATGAGTTAGAGTGAGAATAAATAAAGAAGTGATACGATACAGTTGAATTAGTCAAAATTAAGGTAGTAATACTTGAGGTTTTGCATAGAATTAAAAATAAAACGATTCTAACTATCATGAACTTAGTAAATGAAGTTATGACCTAATGTTTTATTCAAACGACTTACAACTAACTGAATGCTCAAGTTTTGAACCCTGTTCTACCTACTATGTTTAACTCTTCTGTAGAGTAATTACTGCCTTAAAGCTGAGTATGTGGCAAATCATTTGTATAGAGATGTACATCATATATGCAACTTTGTTGGGGCCTAGAGTTGGCAAGAATCTGTTGTACTATCATAGAATGGAAATGACAGTGCATAGAACTCAAAAATATATGATTACTCGTTTTGATGCAAATTATATTCATAATTGGTTCCTCCGTTTGTTCACAGTAAATACTTAAACAGATCACGTGATTCGGATTGATTGGCCCTTGAGTCGTTACCAATGTCATATATGTCAAGTCCCTCTTAGTATTATTCAAACTGCATCGATCAGGTTGCAGTATGACCACTAGTACAAGTGATTCAACATCGTGTGCACTATGTTAAGATTTTAATTGGTTGGAAGCAGTCGGCAGGAAACTCTGAACATAGGTTTGATGCCTACTGGCACTCGTCAATGGGTTATGTCTCCAGTCTTGGAAGAAGCGATGCTACCTGTGAAATTTGAACTTTTGTCACACAGCTTCACAGTGTGAGAAGTTTGGTAGAAAGGATTCAGCCAGAACTAAGAATTCGACAACTATAGGATTGATCAATACTGAGTGATAAATTAACGTAAACATTTAAATCCTTCAGGAGATCCGTCGTGGACAAGATAGCTCAATGTAACGTTTCAGATAATGAAACCGAAATCTTTTTGCCATTCACATTAATGAGTTTCTGTCATAAAATTTCTTTGATTTCGCGATTAAAAAACACACTAAAAACTGTGAAATAAATTTGTAAACTACATGGAACTCTCTGTATACACATAAATTTCGTTAACATTTGTCATGAAAGATTATTGGCTAATAAATGATATTTGAACAGTTGCTAATCTCGTCCATGGTCCCTGATTTAGTATAGTTTTACCAAACAAACCAATCAAAAGTATTAACCCTAAGCTTTTTAAAAAGCATGTGTATATAGGGAATAAGAACTTGGAGATATATGTAAGTTGAAAGACACCTTTCTGTCTAAAACTAGAATCCAACGGGGATTAACCTAACGATGCCCTAAATGAAAAATTCGTAAGAACATTTTAAATGACTCTAAAACCATCAAACTGTATTTCTTTTGATATACAGTGGCCTAGAGTTTAAGAGTTCGTGTGTGAGAAGGGAGTTTCTGGGCTGTATTCTGGGAGGAAAGCAATTTCAAAGAGCCTAATACTAGGATGGAACGGTATTTCAGTGCTTACAGGTCTTTATTGGTGGCCTAGTTAAAATCAGTTCTTGCTTTAAACTATGATAATTAAAAACGTTCAAAGATGAGTCTTTAAATTAAGTTTTCTGTTCACTAAAATTATGGCCACTAAGTATTATTGACCCTAAGTTAAATATTTTCATACCGAATTTCGCCATATTCGTAGAATAATAAAAATTTTCCATGTCAATTATCAGTGTGTAGTACAGTGAAAACTACATAGTTTATTGTTTTCGTGCTCTGTTCTTGAATGTAACCATTCTCAGTTCTTATATAACACATTTTTAGGAATTGTGCTAAATTTTCACCATTTCAATACATTCGTTGAAGGGAAACAAAATTATGATAGTTTTTCATTGAACTCCTGAACAGGTTTAAGTTAGACCTCAATTGAAAACCTAGAAGCATTGGATGGTCGTTTTATCTTAGTATGAAATTCCTTGGCAGTGTTGATTAACGACCTCGTACTCGTGAATCGAACCCATGACCTTCGGTTTTGCGCGCAGAACTTCATATATGTTTATCTATTCAATTTATCCTATGGATCCAGTTAGAAAAGTCATACGATTCATGAAGCATGCCATCGTACTGACTAACACCATCTGGCTTGTCTGAATAAAGAAAAGTTAAAGTTGATTAAGTATTCTATCCTCATTTACTTGATTTACTCAAGGAGTGAAGTTGAATTGAACAAAGGTATTCAAGTTATTCAGTGTATTCTATCGAATTTTCCGTAGGATTAACATTTCTTTCGAGTAGTTTTGAAGTTACCGGAATCCATGCTCATATATCTAAACTTGTAACTCAAAACAAGTCCGTCCAGTTGCTCTCTCTAACTTGTCCCTAGACACACCAGAATGGATTAAAAAGGATTTTCGATTCCCATAATTTTTCTAAAACCAATTTTCCAAAAAATCTGCCAAAAGCTTTCTTAGATTTTATCTTTGTGTTTCTATACAATTTGAATAATGGTCTCTGAATTCTTATGTAACTATTTTAAAATTAACTTATCAACAAAATACTTTGTTGTTACATAAATAACAATACCACTTGATTGATATTAGTTTCATAATTGTTGTTAAGATCATATATTTTGCATAGGCGGATTTTTGGAGATTGTAGAATTTGCATAGTGTAAATCACAATCTAATCTGAGTAAGACTGTCATTGAAAACTTGGAAACACTGGATAACCGTTTCATTCTGGTATAGGACATTTCGACAGTGCCCATCCACAACCTAACTACAGAAGATCGAGCTTAAGACCTCCGATCTTGCACATGAGCTCTTAACCACTGAATCACTGAGCCGGAATCCAGTGGTGCCGATGTCGAACTGCAATCAATTCACGATATTATGCTACCATCTCCATTACCTGTGATGGATAACTGTTTCATGCTTCTCACCAGTCGTTTTCAACCTGATGTATTAGTCCGTGATCCAAACTATTATTAAACATACATACTGGTCATATTGGAAAACTAATCAATTCACCTCAAAAATGTAAGTCTTCAACTGAATCACTGGCGGCAAATTTAAATCTTTCAAATGTATTTTGTTCTCTTTAATAGATCGAGCCAAAGTTGTTGAAACATTGAACTCACCTTCTGATGAAAATAATGAATGGTCTCATATGAATCCAGCTATGTCTTACGATGAGAAACAGAATGTTCCAAAACATGCTGCTCGTAGTTCTTTGTATAAAGTAAATGAAAATAAGAATACTTCTGGAATTCCATTTACAAATGACAATAACAGACGAGGTAATCTGTTTTATGTGAAGAGGTATCATTTTGAATTAAATATTCAAACATTGATGGCTTATTATTAGTGTACTTCAAGGTACTTTAGGATATATTAACGTGGTCCATTAATACTGATTGATTACTGAATAGTGACTAGTATGTGCTAAACAGATTGTTATCAATCAGGCTGTGATCTGGAAACTAGTTTTATGGTGTGTGTTACTGACGTCAACAGATATAAATAGTATGTATCGTCAATCGAAAGTGAAATGCCTGGTGGCAGAAGGTTAAGAAGATTGAAGGAAAAAGAACGAGAACAGAGAATAATTGATGTGGAAACGAAAGAACAATGAAATCTGAGACGATTGATTGACATTTTGCAGAAGAAACAGTCAAGCTTGAGACAGTTGACTGACACTTTGCAAATGAAGAATTTACTATATGGTTCTCAGATTTTACAAAAAAATTCTGTAATTTTGACACCAGATTTCGGTTATTACTATGAACTAGGCTAACTTAAAATTTGATTACTACTCACGAGTTCAGTCATGTTATGATAAGCTTAATGATAGTTCCTTGGATTCTAAAGGAAGATGAACCGGCTCTGGATCCTATAGATGATATCTATTCCCTTAATGTTGCAGATACACGTTGCTGACGAGTTCAGGATAACTAAAAATATAATTCCAGTATCTTACTGTTGACCATATAAGTGACTAAACTGACATTTGTGAAGCAAATGATTCCTACTAAATAACCTCATATTAACGTGATTCTCCTGTGAGTAGTCCGATTCCGTATCTGTATTGTTATAACTGAACATGAATAATGAGTCACAAATAAGAAAAATACAGTTATCTAAAGCTTCCTAGTTTTAGCGGTTTTTTACAAGATTATTTCACCATAAAACCCATCTTCAAAACTGCTTTTCCTTCTTGACTTCCATTATAAGCCATCTTAAGATCAAACATCAGATGTATTACACATTATGAAAAGATAAATTTTTATTAGAAAAAAATAAATTACGTTCTATGAGATAAGTAGCCTGGTCATGAAACTCTCATTATGTTTATAAGCAAAATTATCACTATAAATTTTAGGTAGAAATCAGCTTTAATAATTTCATCATAAGTGACACTAACAGCTTATTCTATCAGTTATGAATTTAATAGAACGAAATGGCCATCCAGTGTTTCTGGGTTTTCAATGAATGTTCGAAAGTTAACCATACTCATTATAATAAAAAGAATAGAAGCACAAAGAGTATTAATAAACATAGTTAAAATCGATGTTTATATTTATGTTGGGAAATAGTACCGTATAACAGGATAGGTGTTATAGCTAATAGTAATCATAATCAAGATAAGGAAGTAAAATCGAACACTTGACGTTGTGTAAGGAAACTGATTGATCAATAGAGGAGCTTATTTTCAATGCCAACTTAATTCTTCAGTCGAGTCTTCCTGAGATCTCATTTTCCGTGAGCAGAACTTGGGTAAGGAGAGATTTTTCACAAACAGTTGGTCGTTTGAAATTGTAACTATATTAAAGATCATTTTGGCAAAGGATCTTTTAAATGTTCTAACTAAAGATCATTTTCTGCTGTTCGCTTTTTTTCATCATTTATTAATGCTGACATAATGTTGTTTTCTAGGGGCGCAGTGAAAAATATTTATTGAAATTTTAGCTACTTATAAGTTAATTAAGTAGGTAGAGCATTTACGAATTTTCACATTACCATCAAATTTCACGACTAATTTCTGTATCAATTTCCTACTTTCTTACTGTTTCTATGCAATTAAAAGTTGACAATACTCATATTCCATATGAACCACCAACATATTGTCGAGCACATATTACATCTGAAAATATGGATATGGAATGTCAATATAAAGAGGGTCATTTAGACAGGAATTATATACACACCAGTTGGAATTGTTTTGTCAATACTTCACAAGTAGGTTTATATTAAATATATATATATATACGTTTGTGACAGCTGTTGATTAGGAAAATAGTTTTAATAATACACTTCATGGTGTAACATATTTGCTAATAAATGAACAGAGTAAAATGGTTTAATAGCTAATTGCTGACAACAAAATGTTAAGCTAATGTAATATGAATTCACTTGCCATTGTTTACTTGAATTTTCCCATCGATGTTTAGGATTGAAGTTGATCAATCTCTTATTGGCATATGTGCATACTGTGCGTATTGCCTCGATATTGCCTTAATTCACAAGCATTATGAGCATTATAGTCGCTAGCAGTGGAATCCAGGACGGGCGTTTCGTCCTGAATGTAGATAATGTTGCAATAGGAGGTTAATTTTTATCCACAAAATACTCTTGACAGTGCTCTGAACCAGATCAATTATATTCAGATCCATTCTAGATCAAGACTAGGTGTTTCTTGCAAATTAGCTTTCACACTACGTCATACTGTATGAGTGACTAAAAGATATTTTTAGTAATTTTAAATAGTTTAGGAAATATGTACAGACAACTTTTACTTAATTTTCAATAAGATACACGATATAGTTTACTGCGCATTGAATTTCACTCAAAAATCATGTAGGCGCTATCTTAGGTCTGATTCTTTCAATCAATCTCTTCAGCATAGTTAGGACAACCAATAACAGGTATAATAGCTGTCCAGTATAACACTTCAGTGGATAACATGTTCAAGTTTGGATCAAATGTCACTTGATTTGAGTTCCAGTGTAAGCATTGACACTGTAATGCACATATATCCAGGTGACAAATCTTATATAGGATTAGACATACGTCCTGAATTTTATTATTATTCACACAGCACATATAATAAAACGTATGATGTAAAGCTATATGGAGAAGTCTCACTCAGGATGAACATACAACATTTGAGACTGAACAAATGAGATCCTCAACACTAACAAAGAGATATTACAAAGCTTAACTAATATTCAACATCGTCACTTGCAGTTAACTCTTAAATTTCTCATATAAATATATCTCTACTCTCATTTAAGCCCAGGATGTTCCACTTTCATTTCGAATTCCATTTGTTTGTTAATAAAATTTAATCCTCGTCATTTTTTTTTTACAGTATGCTGTTTATTACTGATTTTGTAAAGCAGCATAAATGTTACCGAGTTTTGTTTATTCTTTTCTTGTGATACGTTTGGACAGATTCAATACTTGCCCATACCGGAAGCAAAAATGGAACAAATATCTGAAAAGTAAGTTCATAATGAGTATATGTGATGTTTGTCTAGTGTAAATCCAATACATGCAGTTAAAAGATAAATAAAATATAATTGAAGTTATAATTTAACATGCCCCCAAATGCCCTGGTACGGCTAAGAGTGGGGAGAATTAGCTCTTTCCGTCGAAATACTCTCACATGGCCACGCATATACAGCCACTGACAGGGAAGTCCTACTCACTGCCTTCTCGAGTCATTACTGTTGTTTACGAAATTAAGAGGACGAAAAGCAAATGTTCGGTGCTTTAACCGAGTTGGTGAATATGGAGGATCCACCTAGGGGAGTTGGAGAACCCTGATTTCAATCCAGTGTTGCACATGGATCCTGAGGGAACAAATGGCGTATGAACCAATCATTGGTCACTGGCTACCATGCGACTGCATCTGCTGACGTTTCTCTATTGCTTTGTGGATCAGACCTTCTGGTCAAAGGCTCGGGTTGTAGCCCCCTAAGAAAACCACCTGCTTCGGTCTGGGCACACGGGTAATATCACATGATCAAGCCAAAAAGTGGCTAGGAACGTGGGAGATTGGAATCAATAAACTGAACATAACTTAAAAACAGTAAATCGCATAATAATAATCTATAGATCAAAATGAAACTTATAATGAGAGGAATATAGATTTATACAATCTAAATACTGAATAGTTATACCATAAGAATACATAGATAATATTATCCCATTAATAGTTCTCCGAACTTACCAGTAATTAAGTGTTCACTAGGATATAACGCTTACTATGAATGTTCACATACATATTCAAACCCAATACCTTACTCTTATTTACTATGGTGTGTGAACTAGAATGATAATGATTGGTTGTTGGTTTAGTCAGACTAGTTGATAGTCCAGGGTTTCCTGTTGACTACCTCCAACCACCATCTTGTCTTAGCATAGTGCACGCAATATCGAGTCACCTAGACTAGTAGCCACATTGCAACTTGGTCGATAGCATTCGATCTGAACTAAGAAGGACTTGACATACATGACATTGATCACCACCCAGTGACCAATCAATTGTAAATAGTAGATAATCTAATAGGTGACAAGATGAGTTATATATTCTTCTATCCTTATTATTATTGTGATTGTTGTCGGGTTGTGGTGTAGAAATATATTTAAGTTCTAGTCAGGCTAATCACGTATTCTTGTATTGAAGTCCTGTAGAATAGACACCGGAAGAGAATCTAATGTTGATATTTGTCTAAGGCAACTTAGCGTCCCATTAATGTAAATGATGAAACCCGAGTGTTATAACATAATATACTTTACAATACTCCGTTTTTTATAATAATAATAATAATGCCCGATTCATCCATCAATCTTTCTTTCCATTTATTTCTCTCTCTGTTTTTAGAGCTCATCAAAAAATACATCGTGGTCTACGTGAAGCATGTTTAGCTATAGGGATTGTATTTTCAACAATATGTTTATTTTGTATTGAATTATTACGTATGATCACATTAACTTTATTTAAACCATTTTTACAATATTTACGTTTTTTATTACATATTATTATTAATTGTTTTTGTGATATCAATTATATATGTAGTGCACATTGGGAAAGGTTTATTTATCCAATCATTAGTTCATGGGCTACATATTCACAAGATGTAATTGTTCCTGTAATACGTGAATTTCGTCCAATTCAAATTAATATACAATCAAAACCAATAGAAAATCATACAATACAACAATGTTAATTGAATATTAATAATAATAATAATAATAATAATGTGAACAATAACTGAAATAGGTTTTCTCGCCCCCCCCCTCATTTTTCTCTCTTTTTAGTTAGTTTTACTTTTGCCCTAGCAACAAAAAAAAGTTTTTTTAATGAAAAAAAACAACATAAAAATCTAATATTTAATATTTTTTAAAAATTAGTTTGAAGTTTGATATATTGATTTAATTTTTTTTTATTTGAAAAGGAGGGGGAAGAATTGTGAGAAGTAAATTTCTTTTGTTTTTCTTTTTTTTGAAAAAGATTTTATTATCAGGAAGGGGGGTTTTATAAATTTTAATAGTTGAATTCATGATTTGAATAAAGCTAGATTAGCATTGAAAAACTAGAATTATTGGATGGACTTTAACTGACTCATGAATTTAATTATTAAATTAGTGCGATCTACATAAAACCCCCCTTCCTGATAATAATCATCATGTACTCACTAGTGATTGGCTTCAAGAGTCATTTCCTGGAGTTCTAGTGAGAAGCAGTGACCAGTGGAGTTCAACTGGGTCTGTTGTCAGGCAGTAACTCACTGAAGACAGTGATAGACGGTGGCACAATATCATAGATTGGTTGAAGTTAGACATTAACACGATTGGATGCCAACTCAATGGTCCAGAGGTTAAGCGTTTGCACGCGAGACCAATAAGTCCTGGGTTCGAATCCCGTGTGTGTGATCGTAGATGCGCTGCTGAGGAGTCCCAGACTAGGACGAAACGGCCATCCAGTGCTTCCAGATTTTCTAAGGTGGTTTAGCTTTAGTGGACTCATGAATTCAACTATGAAATTACTATAATATCCACAATACCCCTTCTGATTATAAAAAGTTGTGTTCCACTGTATCGTCCAGTTACGACATACACTTCGCATGGTAGGCTATGTAAATGAGAAAACTAAAATGAGTAATAGGAAAGTTTAACTGTCAAATTGAATTATGACGTTAGAAAAATCACAAGTATATTTACCGTTATCTTTCAAACTCAAACAACGACTTGTAGACTGTAACCATGAAGTGATGCATAATAGATCTCCTCTAATAGCTTGATCCTGAGGTGGTATATGAGTACAGCTATATGATATATCTATGCTCATCCAGTCTACATCTCAGTCTGTCCAGTAAATACATGAACTGAATTCATAAATCATTAATGTTACAAAATATTTCGATATATCAATTGATTCCCAGTTCCCTGTTGATCGTTATAAACATTTTCGAAATCCCTTAAAAGTCAAGCTATACATAATCGTTTCATGTCTTATTGCCTTCCTATTGTGTTAGATGAATTTGGATTTTGTAATCAAAAAGAAGTAATAAAGATCGGAAATAAATATATTTAGTCAGAATAAGAAGGTAAAAAGAACAGATTAGACAGAAATGTAGAAAAAACTAACCAACTTATTTCCATAGTTCCCTTTATTAAGAATAATAGGCGAGTGAAAACAGAACACTGAAGCAAGATAGTTGTTCCTTTAAGTATAAAGTAATCTCATAGCTAATGATGTCCTATTCAAAATCTCAGGATTTTCCAGTAATTATGTTTCGTAATTTAAATTGATCTGTTAAACTTCTCACTCCACATACAACCTTAGCGACGGTTGAAACTAGGATCTTCAGGTCTCACTGTAGACGCTTAACCTTTAAACGGCTCAGTGAATAATCAATTGTTAACATTAATAACTCCAGTTAATTCACAATAATGCACAACCACCTTATATTGTTTTCGTTCAGTAAATATTTTATATCTAACACGGTTAAAGTTTATTAGTCAAAGCTTTTTACTAGAACTCAGGAAATCACCTCTCACTAAGAAGTACATGATAATCATTAGTGTAAGGGATACTATGGAAACTGTTGTTCACGTAAAACATTAGTTCTGTTGTAAAATTAATTTTTCTGAATTGTACTCTTTATTAATAGTACATAGTTTTAGCTTCCACTTAGGGTCGCTCCTAGAGTTCGAACCCGTGGTTGAAAGATTAAGCATTTTCTATGAGACCTGAAGAACTTAGGTTCAATCCTTATTTAAGATCATGCATAAACAGTGCTATGAGTTCCATACTAGAAGAAAATGGCTGTTCGGTACTTTCTGGTTTTCAGTGACTATCTAAATGCAATTAGGTTTTGTTGCAAACTATAAAACTCAACAATCTACGAAAAACCCTTAAACACAAATATGTGTACTGAAGATTGTTGTATCCCGATGAGAATAATGAATGGCAACTGTCATAATCCATTTACGGATTAATAATATATGTGTATTTTCATCGTATGGTTTTTAAATAACTAAACTATTCATATTCGTGTTCCTCTTATCATTAGCATTATTTTGACATATGAACTATTATTATACGATTTACCATTCTCGAGTTATGCCTAGTCTATCAATTACAGTCTCCCACATTCACAGCCACTTCTGTCTAAATCTTGTACATATGTTATTTTCCCTTTTATGGTACGATGTCGTCTGGCTGGTTTGTATATAAGCCCAGTATGGTTGAAATACATGATTCATGTCGTGGAGGTTGAGAATTGTTTTCTGGACTCAACAGGCAAGGCTAGACAGGAAGAAGGACCAATAAAGGCTGTAAACTGCTCGGACGGGTTTTATGCGTCATTGGTTCAGTCGATAATCCACTTTTCTCTAATTGGTGGTGTCATTACGTCATACATTGATAAGGCACTAGGCCATGAGATATAACACTATATCCATTATTGTAGTTTACTGACAAATCTTCCTATATTCCCTAGCATAATCACACTAAAGATTGTACTTAGTAATAACAGTATCATCTTGTTATCATTCCTGGAATGTAACTCAAACACAAAGGTTTACGAGAGATGATTTTGGTTTGGTGAATAGTGTACTTAATTACAATACCTTCCCCTCATACTTTCACTTTATTTACCGTTAGGCTTTGACCGTTGTATTATCCTTGTGGGTATTGATAATAATCGGAATATTAACGAAATAGTCAATCGGCATTTTTAATTGGGAAAAAGTATGCTGAGATTGATTCAATTTGGCTCTTTCTATTAGATATAATACAATAAAGAACAAAGATTCCTCCATATGAGCAAATGACTGTTAAAAAATTTAAGTGAATATATTCTCGTTACTTTGATCAAACATAGTAGAACAGAAAAATAGGTTGTTATGTCGTAAGATCATTGAACGTGCCAAATCACCAATCAGATTCCTAATTCAAATTTGAACTATTTCACGTCTACTATTTCCTCGACAGTATATAATGTCCTCAAACTGACCAATTACGTGCCCGACTTTCCTTATTGACCCTTAAAAGACAGCTAATTTCCTATTGGTCCGTCATCTGAAAGCTCCTCTCTATCCCCTGAATTGAGTTCAGAAGTAGTAACCAGCCTCTATTAAATCTATACTTCAAACAGACGTGATTTATATCCAGATATATCGTCACACTATAGAATAAAAAATGACTAATATGCATGAACAGGCTCAAAGTGGTTGTGACTTTAGGTGACTATAGGGGATCGACTGACAACAAACTAGGAATATTAAGTTGTAATGATAGTAGTTTATGGGTTAACCGAAAGCTTATAATAAATGAAATACATAGACCTAGTAATCTAGTTACTTAATAAGCATATAATAAGAATATATAATAATAATCCATACACTAGTTCTGTGAGTTAACATTCCTTCAATCTTCGTTCTGACATAATGTAAGACCATGAACGTATAAGTCGGCTTTGGCAACTCCAAATTAGACAAATTAAATTTTTAAAATAACTAAGGCTTTAAGAAAAGACAATGATCACTATAGGGGACATTGAATTATGAGTAAATGAGAATCTCTCACCACATAATGATTGGAACGCTACGAGATACAATGTATTCAAGAATAAGTTCTCCGTTTCTGTGATAACGTGAGGAAAGACAGAGCTTGTACATGGTACGTTACTCTTCTCCATAATTTGAATAAAATATACTCTGTCGACAAGTACTTACATTTTATAACAACTTTAAGACATAACTAACCAATTATATCGGATTTAAAACTAGCCATTTAATTGGACGAAACGGGATGAAAAATATTGGAAAATGGGATAAAAAAGCTTTTTTAAAGGGGTGAAAGAAAATTACAAAAATGGCCAGTTGTTTAATGACATTCAATCAAATGTACGTAGTTGTTACGAAATATTCACGTTTCTAATTTATCTACTGACAATTTACAAGTAGCTAAATAGTTTTTTAAACAATTTCTGCTCAGGGTTAGTCGATACGTAATTCAATCTACTTCATTTATTGTCAAAAGTAATAATAATAATAATAATACCAAACTTATTTGAAAATCAAGGCAGAATTTTTAACACAATACAGATGTACATATAAACATACTTTTCTATAATGAAATAGAGGTGACTAGAAATGTGTATATAGGTAAATAAATAGTAGTTAGGATAACTGCTAGGATAGAGATAATGTGACAGACAGATGGATATATCTGGACAGTTCGTTATTAGAAATAAATAAAAACAGATTAGAATCGAACTAGACTTCTTTCCTATTTTGTTTTTTTTTATTATTGTCATCTGTTAAATGCATTTAATAATTGAAGAAGAAAAAAAGTAGAGAAAAAGAAGAAGAAGAAGAAGAAGGCGATGACTATGGAAATATAACAGTATCTCATTTAGTTGTTTCATCATAAATAAAACTATACTGTTTAGAATGAATAATATTTTATTTGTGCACTAGTTATGTTTGTTAGTCTTTTGTTGTTATCACTAAAGAAGAAGAAGAAGAAGAAGAAGAAGAAGAAGAAGAAGAAGGAGAAGAAGAAGAAGAAAATCACAAGTTGACCTGGAAGAAATTAATATTTTAAATTTTAATTTATTTTAAAGATTGAAGTATTTTGTTAAATCAGCAGATAGATAGGTATTTTGGTTGAAGGAGATTTATAACGATTAATTTTATATGTAGGCTATACTCGTTAAGATACTAGTAGGAACTAGTGGAACTAATG